ACCATGTAAAATTACAAATAATGATTTATGTCTCATCTTTTTATTTAACCCTCTTTCCTTTGAAAAGTGTATATGATGTAATTTTTATGTATGTTAATAAAATCCATGTGTGAGTTGTGTTTTATTTACTTGTAAATAAAAGAAAATAAGAATAACATGCTGTTTTTTTATTAGCCTTATTGTATCTTCTTCAGTTTTCATATTTCATATTTGATGCATACAGATCATACACTCATTAGTGTGAATTTTCCCCCCTGAAAGACCGAAGTAAATTGCTCAATACATTTTTAAACAATTTAAAAAGACAGTGGAATTCAGAACGGCAAAAATGAGTGAGAAGTGCCCTTAACCTCAAAAATATTCAAAATTCAGAACAGTGATTTTATCCTTAAAGTTTGGCCTGTTTGAAATGTACCCGTTTGTTCAGAGATGATACCAAGAAACACCACAAAAATTTAAAGAATAACTATCTAAGACTGTGTAAAAGCTGAATAAACATGTGTAAAATAGTGTTTCTGTATATAGTTTGATGGGAGCTTATAGAAACTATCTGTTGTGGCACGTAACATGCTGTGTCAGCTTTTCACACCCGCACACTTCACCTTTTTACTATCAGTCTGGAAACATTAGCAAGGAAATAAGAACTGACTCGTGAAACTGAAAGCAGACGATGCTGTTGGTTGGTTTGCTCTTTGGTTTTGTCAGTTTTTCTTACAGGGGAAGTAAATAATTTTTCAGAAACAAAAATTAAATGTGAAGGATTTTTTTTAAACTTTACAAAATTAATAAAATTAAGAAAAGCAAAAGAGTCAAATTAAACTATATGCACCAAAAAAACGAAGAAAAAAATAAACAATCTGAGAACACAGCTCCAACCACTGTACTGTTCAGTAAAGTCACGCTACATACATTCAGCATCCACTTTATTAGGTACGCCTGCTCTACTGCTCATTGTAGTAATCCAAATAATCAAATCAGCTTTCTGCTGCATTTCAAAGCATTTAACTGAGAAATCTATTAACACACTAAGCAAATATCTTTAGTAGTGAAGTATGTGGAGAAGCAATGAGAATATGAAAGACTTCATCATAAAAAAGGAGCAATCTCTCTCTCAGGAGAATAAACCATTGCCAGGGGACATTATGACAATAGAACAAGACTGGTTACGAATGCCAACTACAGAGCAATCATCAGTCGCCCCCTCTGCATGCATGACATCAAGCTGTATGACAGGGTTGAACGAGACGTCCGTTCACTGATCCACATGACAAGGATCTACAGCTGTGACACCGGAATGTCATTCAGACTGGTCGGATGGTAACAGACATAGTCAGATGGTAACGAAGAGAGAGAAGAGAGTCAGAAATGAGGGAATCGAACTACCAGAAAGTGAAATTGCAGACATCAATGACAGCTACAAGTCCCACGGTCTAATGGGAACCATGAACCATGCTAGGAAAGCTGCAACCACCAAGTACCTGCAGAGGGTCAGGCAAGTCCTGAGGAGTCAGCTGAACTGGAAGAACAAGATCCGGGCTATCACTGCTACCCTGCGCCAGTGATCAGATACCCTGCTGGGATAATAAGCTGAGAAGTGCATCAACACAGTAATAAATATCTTTAGTAGTGAAGCATAGTTACAGTAAAAGTGTGTATGAAAACAATGAGAAAGGCTCATGTAGGTGTGGAAATGCAATACTGGTTTGGGAACACCATTAAGAGTGCTTATTATGACTTTTCTGCTGTGAGAATTGCAATAAGGCAATCGTGACACATGCTTTTATGCTTTTAGTGGTGTGTCATTTTCATCAATATTCATTTAAAAAAAAGCCAAACAAATACCTAAAACACAGAGAGCAAATCAAGCAAATCGTTCCCAAATCTTCCACCGTTTTCATGTGTGTGATTAAATTTAGATGGGCAGATTTTGTGCTCACGCTTACAAACTGTTGCAATCCAGAAAAGTCTGAAACATGAATTTTCACCAATATCACTGTAATGAAAAAGGAACATAAAGCAACTGAGCATTAAACGGAAATAAACACTCAAAAAGGAAGTTGAAACAAGCGCTGTCTGACCACATGCCCACCATGTATATATATATATATCACTCACTATATGCATGTTCTTCAGCAAAAGCCTTTTTCTCTCCCTTCAAGAAAGGAAGTCATTGTGAAAACAAAAACAGGTGAGAATTTGTCTCATAGGGCAGAATATACTATCTAAATGTGATCTCTCACACAGTCACATTTAGTTTCATTGTTTTTACCACAGGTTTAATTGTTTTTGTGTATTTTTTGTGACCTGGATTGTTAAATTTGCTTTTAAACATCTTTGTTCAGATGCTTCAGTCATCATGCAAGACTACATGGGTGGTTAGCATTTCTCTTTCATAGAGTAATGAACCTTTTTTTGTGATTTGTCTTTTCATTTACCAGACAAATAAATTCAACCAAAGCATCTGCCACTGCTCACTTTGTGTCTGTGCCTGTGAATTTTATATCTACTCATAATGCCAGAGACCGATGAACCTCAAAACTGTGTCTGTGGACGTCAAAAAAAAGCAGCAGGTAAGACACCGCTGTGCAGAATTTTTACATATAAAGTGTCTGCAGCTGGTGAACATTTGAGAGTGAACATCTGTTTTGTTCGTCTTCCTTCAGCGTGCATCTTGGGGATGTTTTTCATCTTAGGCGTGGCTCAATTGACAGTTGGTAAGTGAAAGAAGCAGCTCATTCAGAATGAATTCATCTTTTACTGTTGCATTGACTGTTTGTAGACAGTGTGTCCCACATTATTTCAATAGAAATAATAAAATAGGGAAAATAAGACATAAGAAATAGCAAACATACATGAACGTAAAACCATATGAACAAACGTCCATTTATTATTATTGCATTTATGTAGTGATGATAATGGGGAACTTGTCTTTGTCCATTACAGCATGAATGTAAAGCTAATTAGTTATATAAAATATAAGCATCTAGCATGTCCCGAGCTGTCACACAAACACACAGACTGCTTCACATTTTGTTTGTTGGGATCTCATTGGGTATAGCGATAGATGTGCTCAGTGTAAAGTAGACCAAAAAAATTATTGAGAAAAAACAGAGCAGTGTACTCAGTTCTGGTCATACTTTGTCCTTGTGCCCCACAGGTGGGCTCTACGAGAATGACTGTCCAAGGGAACCTTTCATCCCGACTTATCTATATGGACCCATGGCTGTCATTGGGATACTTGGAACAATAGGGGTGTGCAACAAGATCTGTTTCTTGTTAACCAGCATTTTCTTCATTGGCTGGTTCATTGCTGGTAAGCATTAATAGCAATACTCGGTTTTGGACAACATAAGAAAAATTATGATTATAAGTATTACAGTTCACAAATATATTACAACCTGTGCATGATATTAAATGTGGACAAAGTTTCAAAAATTGAGGTCAGTGTATTTGAAAGTGATATCTGTGAGCCAGAAGCTCATGCTTCTGACTGCTATCAAATCCAGATAGCTTTTTCAACTCTAGGCTCTGTATGATGTTCCTGAGAGGGGATATCCTTAATATGATCATCTCAGGCTCCACCCACCTACTATTCAAACCTTTATTTGCTAAGGCCAGGATTATATAGAGAGTTACTAAAAATATGGAGCTGCAAATGAGTTTTATAGGTTCTTTCAAAGCAAAGTATCTAAATGCAAAGGAATTTTGTGGAGGGAGGAACAACTTGGATCTGAGAATCACAGATATTGGTTTGAAAATAAAAATTGTCCAGAATTATCACAGAAAATTAGCTTTTCTCAATGCTTAAACATTTTTTCATGTAACTTTAAACAGATACAGAATCTATAAAGACTTGGTCCTGAGCTAAAACATCGCATTTGGAAATTAATGTTCTTATTCACTGACTAAAATGATTTTTGTGACCGAAGTTATGACAATAAATCTTTTTCAGTTTGAAAATGAAAGCATTATTTCACTGTTTTTTAGTCTAACCATACATTACTACATTACTACTTTTCTTTTACTTTATTTCTACAGGTAATGTGGCGATCTTCTCCATTTATGAACCAAACTACAACAAGAACACGACAAAAACGGATTCGTACTGCAACAAAACGCTCTACCTGTTTGCATTTTGGGGCATCATCCTGACCTACGTGCTGTTTGCTGCACTCGTTTACATTTGTTGCTGCTGTAAGGAAAAAAAGGCTGATGATAATGAGGCTCTGCTGCAAAGATAAAAAGAAAAGAATAAAGATGGCTGACATGAAAACATAGGCACACACAGCAGATCACAATCAGCATGTTTGGTGGTATTGTGATTTTTACTGATTACTTTGGTGCAAAATCAAACCAGAAATGTTATTCTCACTACTTTTAATGCACTTCTCAAATTTGTAATACATTTCATTGATATCCTAATGCCTAATATAATTGTTTCAACACGGTTTTTATTCATTCATCACAGAGTTGAAGTGATTGACTGACTCATAGTTTGACATATTTGAAAAAGGTTTTATTTGTTTTAGTGACTGTGTTATAAAACTGAACAGTACATAAAGTGGTGTGAGAATGACTTTCCTTTGTGAAGAAGTGATTGAGAAAAACTGTAGTGAGTGTTTTTCGTGTGTGTCTCATGTACAGCATGTTGGCAAAAGTATTCACTCACCCTTATGTCTTATGTACTTTTAGCAAACATATTACAGCAACATGTGTTTAATCTATTGATCTTTTAGAGAAATATCACAATGAGGTTTAGCAATTAATGTTTTTACATTTAATCTTCTCAAATGATTTCATTAATCTACTCAAATGATATTTTTATTTTTTGTCAGGCTTGGTGTTTGCTGTGTTTTACCACTATTGGTTAAGTTGTTACAAACTTAGAGCTCCTGGAGTTTCCCAAAGGAATAAGAGTGTCAGGTTGGACTGTCAGAAACTAGAAGAGAACATATGGAGAATATTGATTTGATGAAGTCATGCAGACAAAGCAAGAAGCATTCAGTCAAAATGTCCATTAAACGGTTATGTTACATTAAGATGAAACTGTTTTTTAAGTTTGACTTCTTAGACAATCTTTTTAGTGCGTGCAGAGGATTATTGCAAAAACAGTGCCAGCATTTTGTTGTTGAGAGGTTTGAGGTTTTCTGAATGTAAACAAAAATGTTGTGTGATATAAATCATAGCTTAATGAAATCCATGTGTGAGCTTCTTAATTTAGGAATATCCAAGCTATTCATTTTTTTTATCTGAAAAATAAATTAAACCAAGAAACATAAAAAGCTGTTCTTTCATTTAATCTTTCTATTTTTTATTTTATAGTTTAGTACCCTGTTGTATCTTCTTTATTCTTTGTCAATTTCATAAATTGGCATAATATTTTTTATAATGAACCAGAAAATGTGTCAATATGGAAAGTGAAAACAGGGAAAGTATTTTGGAAAAGCAGACAAATCTCGTGCTGCTCCAAAACCAGTGAAAAAACCTCAGACAGGGAAGACTCAGTGGTTTAGACCAAGTAAGGGGAAGTGCTCTTAACTTCAAAAAAGTCATTTTATCCTAT